GCCATCTAGCTGATACCTAATTCATGGTGTCCCCTTGTGTTACAGGATAGAACTACTCCATAGGGTTTTCTCAGCTGTCATCTTTAAAGAAACATAAATAAGAGCTAGGACACAGAAAGACAGGTGTTGCTATGGATAATATTGTGTCTCAGCATGGTTATGATCCTCAGTATAATCTACCCTATGTGTTGTAAATTCTAACCTCTAGTATGTAAATGGGATCTCTGAGGGTTTAGTGGCAAAGGACTGGGCTGACAACACAAAGGTGCTCAGTTCAAATCCACCAGCTGCTCCTCAGAAGAGCAATGGTCATTCTCCTCCCTTGTGATTTACTGCCTTCAAAAACCTCCTAGAGGGTTACCTAGGAGTCAGTTTTAACTTGACAGTACCCAACAACAAAACATGGTATTTATGAGGCAAGATTAGAAGTTGTTCCTTAAACACATGATCAGCTATACTTAATTAAGGGGAGATAAGTGTATATTTAGACCTTCTGGCAAAAATTTAGATAATTTTTCATCTGATCTCTATCTGGGCATCTACTTAATGGTCTCCAGACTTGAACCAGAGGGTTGCTGTACTTGCAATATTTTTTGGCTCATCGTCAGGCCATGACCCTGCTCTACAATGACCTTTGGACTCTCCAGCTCTGAGGCTGGTAGCCTGCCTGCCTGCCAATGACCTGGACTCACTGACCTTCCCAGAAAGCTCTCTCTTGTCTGATCTGCAAACCTCTACAGCACATGAGCCATTTCCTTGAAACAGCTCATACTTTCTTCTTGTTCTTACCTGCCATTGAGTCAACTATGACTCATAGTAACCCTATGAACAACAATAGGAACCTTGGCTTATCTTGCAACATCCTCATAATCTTCCACATGCTTGAACACATTGTTACAGTCACTGTGTCAATCCATCTTGTTGAGGACCTTCTTCTTTCTTGCTGACACTCTACCTTTCTAGCATGGAATCTCTTCCCAGGGATTGGCCCTTCCTGATAACATGTCTAAAGTATGTGAGTCAAAGTTTCACCATCCTTGCCACTAAGGAACACTTTGATTGCATTTCCTCCAAGACCAATTTTTCTTTTTGAAAGTCTATACTATATTCAATACTCTTCACCAGCACCACAATTCAAAAGCATCTTCTCTTTTTCAATCATCCTTGTCCATTGTCCAACTCTCAGATGTGTATGAAGCAATTGAAGATACAAGGACTTTTAAACTGATATCCTTGCTCATTAGCATTTTGGAGAGGTCCTTTGTCCCAATACAACATACATTTTTTTTTTTTTACTAGTACTACCAGGGATGTTGATCGTGGATCCAATAAAAATCACATTTTATTCTTATAAGAGTGTTTTATCAACCTTTTAAGGGGCCTCAGTTCAGCTCACTCCCAAATGTACCGTATGTGTAGCCACCACCTCTCTGTTAGTGGAGGTTTGTGTGCTGTGATGCTAAACATGTTTCATTGGAGCTTCCAGACCAAAAGGCAAATGAATCACAATGTTTGACCCTGTTATTTAATGGGTCTTCAAGAGTCTGGGGCAGAAACAACAACAGCCACCACCAACTTTTCTAGTAAAGACTTTATAGCGAATTGAATAATGGTGGATTTTTTTTTTTCATTTGGGAAACAACTTTAAAAGTAGAATATTAGTTTAAGTGTTATTTAGAAGAGTAAATATTTTATTTAAATATTTATACATGTACAATACGTGATTTATGGTTTTCTTCCACTCTGGAGAGCTTTCTTTTCAAAACAGTTAATACAGAGGTTTGATTTGATTTCATAATTTCTTTATTCCTGGAGATCTTGGAGAGTCTTTGTATTAGACTCAAATAAGCTCTATAACCAATCAAAATAAGAGTAATTTCCTTCAAGAGTTTTCTGTTTATATATTTTCTCTTAATATGTAGTCATGCTACTAACCCAGGTGCAACTCCTCTCAGGCAGTTTGAATCCTAGCTGGGCCTTGGGAGGAATATGGGCAATCTCCTCCCACTGTCATTTACAGCCCCCAGAAAATCTGCTGGAGGGTCAGTTATGAGTTGCTTCCAACTTGACAGCAATTCATGGTGGTATGTTTGATTCCTAGTCACCTCAGCAAGCAACCAAAATAAGAGACTGGCTGAAATTGAGAGCCTTCTGCTTATGTACTTTCTCTCAGATTATTTATAATCACCGACACACCAAATCAGACACTGTTTTTCCCTTTTGTGTCTGACTTACCTCTCTTGGCATTATTCTTTGCTTGTTCATCCACAGTATGTGGTGTTTGGGGGAATATTTATACTTTCACATGGTAGTTTAGTGGTAAGGAATTGTAAGTAGATTGTACAAAACAACATCAACAGTATTTCTTCGTGTGTATGTGCCATTTTGTTTATCTAGGTGTCTGCTGATGGGTCCTTAGGCTTTCCCATCTCTTTGCTATTATAAAGAATGCTACAGTGACCATGGGCTCATGGAAGGGAGCACTGGTGGCTTAGTAGTCAAGTCTTGCATTTCCAAGCCAAAAGCAGATGGTTTGAAACCACCAGCGGTCTCTCAGAAGAAAGATGGGCAAGCTCTTCCCATGAGATTTATTGCCTCTGGAAACCTGCCAATGGGTCAGCTGTGAATCAGTTCTGACTTAATTGCACGCATCAACAATATATACATAAATATTTCAATCCAAATCAAGTAATCTTAATTTAACTACCTGGGCAAGTACAACTGTTCTGATCATTTTATCTTAAAATACAAATCTCTGATTTTACAGCAGTGGAAAATATGAACACAAGCATAGCAGTTTAGTTAATGTGAGGCAATGGAAAATATGAACACAAGCATAGCAGTTTAGTTAATGTGAGGCTTTGCATTTGTTCTCTTACTAAGAGGTTAATTAGATGGAAGTTCCTAACTTCCTTTTATTTGTCTTCCAGGTCAGATAATTTACCATTATTTATACTAAACTTGGTACCATGCTCATGTAAAAATGGGTGTTGAATCACATTAAGAAATGGTAATTAGAGTACAAGATTGTTTTTTAGAAATGACAGACAATATTGTAAATTATGTGGTTCTACTAAGTTACCCATATATATAATCTGGGGAGATTTCACTTCCTCTACACACAGCTGCATATTTTAATTCTCAGAATAGCTGGTCACCCTCCAAATGAAAATTATTTTACTCCATCTTGGAGACTGGTCCTTTCCCTTCCCTCCACCTCTACCAAGTTCTTCATCTGTGGAGAAATTACAGAACACTTAACCCATTTACCTTTTCTTGGAACCGGTGGTGTATATACGACAGAGCCTCACTGGCTGTATTCCAAAGAAACTCTCTCCTACCCCACAAAAGATGTCATAATCCAAAGTCTAAATTTCGTTAGCCTTTCCTCAGAGACCTGGTGACAGATGATGTTGTCACCTCTGTGTTTCTGCTCTACAACGTGGCCTAATCCTTCTGGAACAAGGTGGAGCGTAGCTGTGCTCATGGCCTCTGGCATGGAATCCCTTTCACAGCTCTCTTCTGCTGCTCTAGGCATCCTTCATACCATGTACTTGTACCAGCCTACAGCTCTGCAGGTCCCTTTTGCTCTGTGACCTCCTTTTCTAGCAGACATCACTGAGCTATCTTACTCTGCTGTCTCTAACCTGTACCTCCAGACCTCCCTTCTCGGGGACCAGGGGAAGTTTATTTGGACAAGTTATTTAGGAAAGACAATTATCAAGCTTCTCAGGGGGCATTTACAGGAACATTCCAAGTTGAGTCCAGCCTTTCAAAGTTTCAGACCAGATCTTTGAAGTCCTCAGATTACTCTGAAGAATTTCAGATATAAACTCTTTTGTGTACCAAGCTCCTTACAGAGAGGATTTCCAGTGCTCACTAATACACAGAGAAATTCAGATGCCTCAGTCTCTAGGTTGTTGAGATTTCTCTAATCAGACTGTATTCTTCAAGATTTTACTCTTCTAATTACTTGGGCACATAGTGATGGGTACTGAGTAAGTATTAAATAGATGAAGAAATCAACCATCTAGCCAAGCATTTCTGCAAATTTTAGAACAAAGATACAGTTCAGGTCTTCTAAGCTCCGTGCAATGAGGATACATGGAATACTAAGGTCCAGCAAATTTCCTATCCTCAATTTGCTGCCCTTTTGTGGCTGTGTCCTGTGAAATGCTTGATTCAGTCTGTTTGTGATTCTTGAAGCTGAAAAGAGGCTGACACATGCTTAGAGACAAACTACAGGGGAAACTGCCTTTCACTCTCTGACCTGAAAGAACTGCCAAGTTCCCTTCTCAGCAGGTTCTGATGGGCTTTTATGAATCATTGACTGCAAACCTCTGCTTAAATTCATCACAAGTCAAAGCACCATCCACCATCCTTTTTCCCAAATTAGTCCCCAGATAAAAATTACACAACACAGAGAAAATAAACCCATAAATTAGTTTACTACTCTGCCCCAAGATTTTACAACAGCCCCTGAGAGACTTCCACTTCTTTCAATCCCTCAATCATTGTAACCTCAGCTTATTATGTCTTGGTCCTAGGGAGCTCTAGTGGACTAATAGGAAGGATATGCACTGCCAACCCAAAGGTAGGTGGTTGGAATCCATCAGCTGCTGCTCAGAAAAAAGATGAACAATCTCCTCCCTTGTGATTTACGGCCTCTCTGAAACTCACTGAAAACTCACTGAAGAGTTTTCGTAGATATGAGTCTGTTCTGAATCAAGTGCACACAACAGTAACAACATGTCTTGCTATGTCCTGAGCAGGAACTCAGAAGCACAGAGTGCAATTCTTTTCTATTTATCACCCAGGATCAAGACAGGATTTTTCTATTCATCTATTGCCTACCCTGGCGATTGAAGACAGCTGTTGGCTAGAAAATGCAAGAGAAGAAAGAAGAGGTCTTAACTTTTAGGTTCGCTTCTGGTTCACATCAGGTGGTTATCTATGCTGCTGACACAGCACTTGCCTCCAAGGGCTCACTGACCACTGACCTTCAATTTGTCTCGTTGTCTCATGTGGGCCAGGAGAAGGTCTTCAGTGCACTGCACACCTCTAGATAGCTCTGTCTCACCAAGTCGGGTCCCAAACATCTGGAGCATCTGGGCGGTAGTCTTTACTGTCAGGGCAAAGTTTTCAATTGCCTGGAATGTCAGACAATCACAATAATGCTGAGAGATTAGGATTGAAGATAGTATCTCAATACAAAAATAGCACACCTAGTAGTAACTAGGTAAACCCTCAATGTGATAAATTGACACAATAACCACAATAATGGACACAAATATACAAATGATCTTGAAGGTGGCACATGCCCGGCAAAATCTTGTTCTGCTCAATTTATGTTGAACAGAATAAATGAATCGGACTCAGCTTGGTAGTAACTAACAATGGCTAAGAAAGACCTTCAGCTACCACTTCCTTCATATCTGCAAAGTACTGCACATTGTACTTAGTACTATACATTTGCCTCTCATCTCAATCATCCCTTGAAGTAGATATATCACCTCATGTTACAGATGAGGGAGCAGAACTTCTAATAAACAAAGTGAGTTTCCCACTATCATTTCCCTAAAATGAAAAGGAAAACAAGTTGCACCTGAGGCCAGGATTCTGCACAGGAGCACGAGCACATTCGACTTTTATGTGTGACTTGGGATGTGCACTGGGCGAAATGCTGACAAGAGGAGGACCACCCAACTTTCCCTCTAAAACGCCTTTGTTTTCCATTCCCTAGAACTTCCTCTCACCAATCTGACCACCTGAAAATTTTGACAAGTGCTATAGGGAGAAACTGATAACTCAGAATAAGAGATTAACTTGATGATTAGCTCACTAGTAACTTTCAAGAGCATCTTTTCTGCCAGACGTGGGTAGAGTATAAACCTCTAACTTACACTTCCTTTTTAGAAAAATTTGCCTGTTCTAGGTTCCCAGCAGCTTCACAGCAAACATTCCAGATGAGATAGCCGCATTTTAGCATACTTTAGCGTGCTGAGGCATGTTTAGGAGATTCATGCCCAAACCCACAAAAATGGCATTGACCATCAGGGGAGTTATTTTTGAGACTATAACTGGTGAGTCTGTATTAGTCTTGAAGCACCACAGAAATTTATCCACCATGGGTAATCCTACTGGCCTTTGAAATACTGGTGGAACAGCAACACACATGTCACTATAGTACAGCAAACTGACAGACAAGTGCTGTACGAGGACAAGCAAGCTATCAAACAAGCAAATGTCATGTAAAAAAATCCACATATATGTTATAGGAAATACCACAAAGGTGTGCATTTAGCAAACAAACTTCTTTTTCACCATTTAAGAGGCTAGATGTCTGGATTCAGAGTGCGAGCTCTAGGGAATGTCCTTTTCCTATTGACTCTGGAGCAAAGTCCTTGTTTCTCCTAAGCCTCTACCCCTGGTGACCTTCATATAGCTTCACATGTGTCTTCTCCCATCTCTGTTTTTCTCTTTTGCTTGCTTACTCTTTAATCTCCAAAGAGACCCTCCCTACAAGAATTCCACCTCATGAAAATACCAAAGACAATGATTCCCAAATGGAATGGTAATCACTGGTATCACTCACTCACACATTGCTGTTAACTTGGAATCATCTCCTAGATAAGCCTCGAGCAGGTTTTTGGGAGGCTTAGATCATATAGGAGAAAACTGTCCATTTGTCTTCAGAGGAGCTGTTGGTGGATTTGAACCACCAAAGAGGTACGATCTTTGGGTTAGCAATGTGACTCCCTACAGACTACACCACCAGAGCTCCCTAATCATAGGTATAGAGATTAGGATTGTTGTTATTGTTAGGTGACATCAAGTCGAGTACAACTCATAGCGACTCTATGAATAAAAGATCCAAACCCAGTCCTGTCCTGCACCATCCTCAAACCACCTGACACACAAGAGCCCGTTGCTGTAGTCACCTTGTCAATCCACCTGGTTGAGGGTCTTCCTCTCTCCTTAGCCGACCCTCAACCCTTCCCAACATCATGAAGGATTAGCACTTCCTACTAATATGTCCAAAGTAAGTGAGGTGAAGTATCATCATTCTTGCCTCCAAAAAGCACTCTAGTCGCACCCTCTCCAAGATATATATACTTGTTTTCTTGGTCGTCCATGGACTGTTCAGTGCTCTTCTCCAACACCACAGTGTCAATTCTTTTTCTGGCATCCTTTTTCATTGTCCAGGTCTTGGATGCATAGCTAGTAATCAGAAAGACCTTGGATGCATAGCTAGTAATAAGACACACCCTAGTCCACAAACAGACATCACTACTCAATAATTTGGAAAGGTCCCTAACTGCAGATTTTCCCAGTGCAATGTGTCTCCTCATTTCCTGACTGCTGGTACACAGGGTATAAATTGTGAATCCAAGCAAGATGAAGCTTTTGACAGTTACAATCTCCTCTTCATCCATTATGACACTGCCTATGGGTCCAGTGATAAGAACCTGTTTTCAATCCATACTGAAGGCTGCATTCCTTGATCTTCTGCAAGAAGTGCTTCAAATCCTGCTCACTTTCAGCAAGCAAGGTTGTGTCATCTGCATAACACACATTATTGATGATTCTCCCTCTAATTCTGATGCCATATTCCTCTTCATACAGTCCAGCTTTTCAGATCATTTGCTCAGCATATAGACTGAACAGGTATGGAGATGGAATACATCCCTGATGCACTCTCTTCTCAATTCCAAACCAGGCAATGCTCCCCTGCTTCTTTGGCACAACAGCTTCCTACCCCAGGTACAGATTCTACATTAGCACAATCAAGTGCTCTGTGATTCTCATTCTCCTTGTCATGATCCACACAGTCAAATACCTTTAAATAGTCAATAAAGCCTAAATAGACATTCTTCTGGTAATCATTGCTTTCAGCCAGGATTCGTCTGACATCAGCAATGATATCCCTGGTACCATAGTCTCTTCTAAAGCCTGCTTGAACTTCTGGAAATTCCCTATCTATGTACCGGTCCGACCATTTTATAATTATTTCATCAGTATTTTGCTTGCATGTGATATCAGTGATATTGTCTGATAATATCCACATTCAGTTGGATCACCCTTCCTTAGAATAGGAACAGTCATAGACCTCTTTCAATCCATTGGCCAGACAGTCATCCTCCAAATTTTCTGGCATAGACTGGTGAGTGCATCCAAGGCTGCATCTGTTAACTGAAACAAGTCAATTGGTATCCCATCGATTCCTGGGGCCTTATTTTTTGCCAGTGCATTCAATGCAGCTTCTATTTTCTCTTTCATTATCATTGGTTTCTGTTCATATGGTACTTCCTGAAACTTTTCAGTATAAATCAAGTCTTTCTGGTACAGTGACTCTGTGTATTCCCTCCATCTTCTTCTGATGCTTTCTGGGTCATTTAATATATTGTCCATAGCATCTTTCAACATTGCAACATGAGGCTTAAATCTGTTTTTCAGTTCTTTCAGCTTGAGAAATGCAGAGCAAGATCTTCCTTTTTTATTCTCCAATTACAACTTTCTGCACATTCCATTATAATACTTTGCTTTTTGAAAAACAAGGAACTCATGAATTATTACAGAAAATGGATGACCCTGGAGGATGTTATGCTGAGTGAAATACCTTGGTCGCAAAAGAACAAGTATTACATAATGCTACTGTTGTAAAGCGGGACTGAAATCGGGGTTGTGGGGTGGGGAAACTAAGAACAGAGGGGATAAATAATGTACACTGTATTGATACAGATGAGGGAGAGAACTGTTTAAAAGGGATATATGATTAGGTATTATTGCCATGACAGAAATCCAGAATGAAGGCTGCATAGTGGAGTGGACTCAGGGGGACGTTTTGTATAATAACGAAATTTTTAGGTTTTTTTATTTTTTACTTTTCAAACAGAAGAGCAAACTGGGGGGAGGGGTGGGCAGGGAGAAAAGTGCAACAATGAATGAATGGAAATCCAAAGTCTATGTAAACTTTCATTAAATTAATAAAAAAATAAAAATACTTTGCTTTGTCCTCCCAAGCTGCCCTTTGAAACAATTTGTTCAGCTCTTTCACTCTGACATGTTTTCCTTTAGATTTGGCTTCTCGACATTCCAGTGCAATCTTAGCGTCTCTTCTGACACTCATTTAAATTTTTTCTTTCTCCTTTGTTTTCATAATGACCTTTTGTTTTCTTCATGGATGATATCCTTGATATCATCCCACAACTCATCTGGTCTTCTATCATTGGTGTTCAATGCCTAAAGTCTATTTTAAGATGATCATGAAATTCTGATGGAATTGATTCAAGATCATATCTTGGTTCCTTTGGACTTATTTTCATTTTCCAGTCTGCCTCTGACCTAGTTTTAAGCCTGCTGAAATTGAGCTTCTCCAATGATTTCTTCCACAGTGTAGTCAATCTGATTCCTATGTAGCCCATCTGGTGAAATCCAAGTGTAGTCATCTTTTGTGCCTTTTAGAAAAAGTATTTGCAATGAATAAATCATTTTAAAAACAAAATTCAATCATTCTATTTCCAGCCTCATTTCTATCACCAAGCCCATATTTTCCAACTGCTGGTCCTTCTTCATAGTTTCCTACAGCTGCATTCCAGTCACCAATTATCTTTAACACATCCTGATTGCATATTAGGTCAATATGGTAAAAATTTGGTAAAAATTCTCAATTTCTTCCTCTTTGGCACTTGATGTAGAAGCATATACTTGAATAATAGTCATATTAATGAGTCTTACTTCTATGTATATAGATATTATCCTATCACTCACAACATTGTATTTCAGGATATAACTTGAAATTGGCTTTTTAAATAACACATAGTATATAAAGTTTCCAGCAATCTATTTTCTTACTTTTTGAGCTTACTTAAAAAAATCCTTTACATGACAATCTTTACTAAGATGACTTCTACTGAATTAAATAAATGTAGTTCAATCATCCATTAGCAAACATTGCCCACATTTTACAACTGACCAGATTCTGCTCAAGTGTTTTGACTGCCAAACTTAAGAGTGAAGTGAGCTCCTGATCTTGCTTTAAAAGAAATAAAAATCTTTTCAAGGATAGGAGGAGACAAGGCGGGGAAGAATGTATATTTTATTATCTAGTGAGTTTCAATCTTATTTTCCAATACTATTATTCATCTTTCCAGTTTATCAAAATAACTACCAATGATCAAATAGAGCAAAAGGAAAAATAAGTATTAAATACATTTTATTAAGCTTTTAGATGGCGTCTAGGAGTCTGATGTTTATCAGTATTACCACCTGTGTAATTCTTAGCTGACTCAGTCTTCATTTTGGGGTTTTCCTGTAAATATTAGGATGTCTAGCTGCATTACTGCCTCTACTCACTAGATGCTTCTTTGTTCCTCCATCTCCTCAGGTTACGGCTATAAAAGAAGTCTAGAGACACTGAAAGAGAGCTCTGGTGACCTAATGGTAAGAAGATGCCCTACAATCTGGAAGGTACACAATTGGAATCTACCAGCTGCTCCATGGAAGAAAGATGGACAATCTCCTCCCATGTGATTAACTGCCTCTGAAAACCTGCCAGAGGGTCAACTGTGGATCGGTTCTGACTTGACAGTACACAACAATAACAACAGACACTGAAATGTTTGCTTTGATCTTCAGTATTTCCTCCTAGCTAAGAATTGGTGTGTTAACAAAGGTCAGAACAAGCTCAAAGAATTTTAACTACTCATTCAAGGTCAGACAGTATTTAATGGTGAAAATATCTAAATAAAGCTTGGTCTATTTCAAAATCTGTATTTTTCGGTGAGTCATTCTGGTCTGTACATTAGAATTACTCAGAGAAGTTTGTAGAATGTTAATGTCAAGGATCTCTCCCAAATCAAGTAAATCCAATCTCTCTGAGACATGCCCAGGTACTGGTATTTCTGAAAGCCTCTCACAAATGTTGTTGTTGTTAAGTGCCATCGAGTCACAGGCAACTCATAGCAACCCTATGAAGGAGAGTCCTCGACGCTTGGATATCTCTCATCCTCTCTCCAGGTTCGTAGGGTTTCCGCAGGCAAGCTTATTACAGAAGTGGATGCCACTCCTGCTTCCAAGATATATTTTCATATTAAGTTAAAATATCTTTGTTCCCAGAGGTGCGCGGTTCAAGTCCGCCAGATGCTCTGCTGGAGAAGGAGGGACAACCTCTCACAAATACTCATGCTAAATTATCCAGCGAGGCACGAGTTGTCAGCAAAAGAAATCTCAAACCTTAACCCTTTCACCATATTCCTTTCCCAGCCTGTGGCTTAGAAATCTCAACACTCCCAGGGACAGTTCTCCCAACAGCTGATCCCTCACTCTCTGGAGTGGTGGTGCTGGAGAAGAGTACTGAATATCACATGGACTGCCAAAAGAACAAACATATGTCTTGGGAAAGGCGCAGCCAGAGTGCTCCCAGGAGGCAGGATGGTGAAGCTTCATCTTTTACACTTTGGACATGTAGCTAGGTGAGGCTCTGCCTTGGAAAGGGACATCTTGCTTGGAAAGATGGAGGGTCAGCCAAAGAGAAGACCCCAACAAGATGGATTGTGTGGTGACTTCAGCAATGAGCCAGAGAGTGTGAGGGTCGTACAGGACAGGGGCCAAACCTGCTGTTTACAGGATCACTATCAGTCATACCCAAAAGCACCTAAAAAGAACAACTGAAAGGGAACACACATGAGTACTCACCGTTCGGTGATTTATCCACTGACTATGGCGATACTCCAAAGTTCCCCCTAACTCCTGCGTGAGTTGGCTTCTGTCAATGTAGCCATGAAGATCAGAGGCAGAATTTAACATGATTATCTGTAATGAAAAAAAAATCAATAAAGATTTCATAGTCAGTGAAATAGTAGTTCATCTAGTTGTTGGGTACCATCCAGCTGACTCCCACTCATAGAGATGCAATGCAAAATAGCATGAAACCCTGCTCAATCCCGTGCCAGCATCATAAACTGGGCTGTGTCTAAATCCATTCTCAGTGTGGAGAATTTACTCAGTCTCTGTATAAACTTATCTCACTGAGGATCTTCCTCTTTTTCTGACCCTTTACTTCTCTAAACATGATATACTTTGTCACCTTCCACTCTCCTTTTGAATTATACATAACAAAGTGCTCTATGTTGCTGCTGTTTGCCATTGAGATGGAACTGACCCAAAGCTGACCCTCCAATAAGTTTTCAGAGGCAGTAAATCACACAGAAGATTGCCCATCTTTCATCCACAGAGCAGCTAGTGGATTCCAACAGTGTGCCTTTGGGTTTTCAGCACAGCTTCTTACCACTAAGTATGTTGTTGTTACTGGATGTCATTGGATTGGAACTGACCCATAGCTGACCCTCCAGCACAGTTTTCAGAGGCCGTAAATCACACAGGAGAAGACAGTTCATCTTTCTCCCACAGTGTAGCTCGTAGGTTGAATTGTGTGCCACTGGGATTACAGCACAGCCTCTTACCACTAAACCACCAGAAATGTGGTATAGTCGGCCAAAAAGTAGTTATTTGTATCAGGGATGACCAGCGATAGAGTCCTCCAAAATCAAGTCTTGCTTTAAGTGAATTTTTGTTAAACATGTTCCTATGCTAAGATATATTCTTTAGTCTCCAAAATAAAATGAAGTGTGGGACAATGTCATTGCAAATGGAGAATGTATTGAGGTTGTCAATGCTCCCATTTTACTTGGGTAAAATATTGTTGCCCAAGGTGGTAGCAGTCAAGAAAGCAAAAGATGTGTTGCATTGGGCAAAGCTGCTGTCAGAGATCTCTTTAAAATACTAAAAAGCAAAGGTATCAATTTCAAAACTGAGGTGCACCTGCCTAAACCATGGGATTTTTTCCAAATGCTTCCTATGAATCTGAAAACTGGACAATGAATAAAGAATATCAAAGAACTGATGCCCATGAATTGTGCTGTGGGCAGAGTACTGAATATCCCATAAACTTCCAAAATAACCAACAAACTTGCCTGAAGGAAGTACAACCAGTATCCTCCTTACAGGTAAGGATGATTAAACTCCATCCCACATGCATTCAGCATATTGTCAGTCCTTGGAAATAAGTATCATGCTGAGAAAAGTAGGAGGTCAGAGAAAGAGAGAAAGAGACCCTCAACAAGATGGGCTAACACAGTGACACAGGGCATACGAACACAATAATGGGCTTCAGGATAACATTGATTGTAAGGATAGTGCAGGACAGGGCAAAATTTTGATCCATTTTTCATAGGGTTACTATGAGTTGTGGCTGACCCAAAGAGCCCTAGTAGCAACAAAAGTGACTACGGAAACAATATTGGAAGACAAGGTCCACCTATGGTCAACATTTTGAAAAGATTCACTACACTGATGATTCAATTTATCTTGTATAGAGTAGATCTCACAGGTGACTCAACAACATATAACAAAAAAAAAAAAAAAAAAAAAAAACAACATATAACAACAACAATGTACTATATTGATTGGGTTTTTTTCTTTTTTATTTAAGCCTCTTGTTTAGAGGCCTTTGTATTTAAAGTCAGTTATTCTTATATTTTGGAGTAACATTCTTCTAAGTGGTACAGCACTCTTCTGTCAATATGCTGTACTAAGGTACCTGGGGTTGCTGTGATGCTGAACTTTGTGCCTTTGGGGTGTCAAATGCCATAACGGTTACCCATGGTGGACAGTGTTTGGTGAAGCTCCCAGTTTAAGACCGGTTTGGAAGCAGGAGTGACATCCACTTCCTAAACAACACGCCTCTGGAAACTCTGTGAACTCTGATAAATGTCAACAGTTATAGAAATGCTTCAAGCCCTTTGCTCATAGGGTCATTATGAGTTATGCTCGACTTGACGGTAATCAACAACAGAGTAGATCTGGAGGTAATACAAAAGAGTGGTTTTTAAAGCTAACAAAATTGCTAAATAACACAACCCAAACACTCAGACACCTGCAGGAAGGTACCATATTCTAAATAATGTCTTTGCAATTTTCAGCATTTTTTTCTCATTTACAAGGAGTGAATTTTACCTTCCCAACCAGGGACATAGCAAGAAAACAAAGATTCTCACCACTCGGCCAATTGGCAGTATTGTGATGGATGGTGAAGAGATTGAGATTGTCAACAGTTTTAGTTTGCTTGACTCCACAATCAACACTCTTTGCACCAGCAGTCAGGAAATTAAAAGATGTATTGCATTGGGAAAGTCTGCTGTCAGAGACCTCTCTAAAGTACTGAAGAGCAACCATGTCAGTCTGGAGACTACAGGTGCACCTTATACAGACCATGGTCTTTACAATTACTTCCTATGTATCAAAGAGCTGGACAATGACTAGGGATGATAGAAGGAAAACTGATGCCTTTGAGCTGTGATGCTGGAGAAGAGTATTGAATATACCATGGACTGCGAAGA